AAAATTCAAAGGAATTTTTTTGTCAATCAAATAATTTATTGAAATTTCTTAATAAATTTAAAATGCTAGGCTTGGGCTCATTTGAACACTAAGATCAATCGTATTTTTAGAAACTTCATTGAAAAGTTTATCAAAATGGCTAACTAGAAAAATATTTTGATTTTCATCTTTAATATAGTTTTCTTGAATTAAATCTTTAGTTTTCTTTTCTCTTTGTTTGGCTAGTTTATACATTTTTTTTTACCCTCTTTAGAATCCAATATATGATAAAGATCACTAAAAGTATAATTTTCATAAATTATTCTCTTAGACTCTCTATGGGTCAGCTTATATTTTTCTCAGATTTATAAGTTTTTACATTAAACTAATTTTTATAACATAACTTCTTATTTGTTATCTTTTCGTGCACATTATTATTCCACCACCAACTATTTTTATTTATACATATTTTTCCTTTTGATTTCCCATGTACATCTTTTGGTACTTGTTTAATAGTGTTTGTTACTTTATCCAACATAGGATTTTCTTATTCATTAAAATCCCAGATCATGAAAGAAGAATTTTCTTATTCATTAAAATCCCAGATCATGAAAGAAGTTCACTCATAAAAAAAATTTATTTGTCTTTTATGTGCTCCATCTAATTTTATGACATTGTTTCCTATAATTTTTTATCTTACAACACTTCATTTTAAAATTCAAATCTAATAATCAAGGTTAAATACTTAAATTTTCACTTGGAATGACCTTTACACTCTTTACATTCTTGACAAACTCTTTCTCTCATAAGAAAACAATCAATTCCTATTTTATTCATTCCTATAAGGAATAATATGTCATTCACTTTTTTTAAAATAAAGTATTAGTAATAAATAAATTGTGCACTGAGGCAAAATCTAATGTTAGTCTACATACTTCATTAATCACTTTAAATCCGTAGCCATCATAAATATTTATAAAATTTTTTAATACTACCAACATGTCCATTCAAAATCTCCTCTACTAAAAATTCTTTTTCAAGAAGAATCTCCTCTACTAAAAATTCTTTTTCAAGAAGTATCATTTGTATAAATTCTTATACGTCATTCCAGAATTTTTCTTTAGAACCTATATCTAAGCTTACTTGAGGAGCATTAACACTTATAATATTAAAAATCTTAAAATCTTAGTATCAACAATAATATTAAGGGTTATAATTCTATCTCAAATTCTATTAATTTTTGCAACATTATCTTTCAAGCTCTTACACCTAAACCATTTCTAGTGCGACTCCTACCTAAATATCAAATTTTACAACCTAAGCTATCAATCTTCTTAGTCTTTTCTCTAATTTTAATTTCTTAAATACATAAGATATTTAACTTCTTATTAACCATATTAGCTGTGAGAGTACCTATATTCCAAGATCATTCCTAATATTAGTTTCATGGACTAATTTTCTTACTCACCTCCGTCCTTAATATGAGAACTCTTACTTATTTGACACTATGCCCAGACGTCGGTGTAGCAGCACTTGCACACGTTACAATGTACTCATGTCATACAACGAGTTACTTTAAGGGACGTCTTAACATTTACACAATGATTAAAAGGGTTCTTGTCATAATTTTTTAAAAAAATTTATACCGGTTGTTAACTACCTAACACAACCTTTCACTGTTCACATCCGGAGCTTAAGACAACGTTAAATAAGAAGTTATAAAAATTACATGGAAGTTTGATTAGAAGTGATTGATATCTCGCTCTCGCAAGGCACCTACTTTTTCTCACATAAGATGCATACCTCTCGGTGTCAAATTACATGAAAAAAAAAATGTCCTTAAACTATTTGAATCATAATAATGGTCCACAAGTTCATTGTAATAATCAGTAACTCAAAATTCTCCAAACTAAAATTGGTGTCACTATGAAGCCAAGGTATTGGACCATAATGCCTAACACTTGTGCTCGCTATCTAGAGGACTAAGAACTATGCTCCTTTTTTGGGCACCAGGCTCCGGATCTAATGTATAGGAACTTTCAATGCTTCGTTTGGCATAATATTATGCTATTTATAATGTTAATATCTTAAGCAACTTTCAATGCTTCATTGCACAAATTTTGCCCTAAAATTTGCCTAAAGTAATGCTCTCCTACAAGATTCAAAAATCAAAACACAATTGTAGTGAAATCCCAAAAGTAAAGTAAATATCATGTAAAATTAACCATCTAAGTAAGAAAACATATATAAAATTGCTTATAAATATCATATCTTAATAAACATTTCTATAATTTTTATTATGTAGCTTTCAGTCTATAACTACTCTAATTATTCGACACATATCAGGTCTATTATCTTGTGTTTTCACTATATATTTTAGACTATGGTATATAAGGTATGTTGATAAGCTTTCGAAATATGTAAAATTAATTATAATATATTCATCGCATCATACTAATCTTATAAATGTTTCCTATATTTATACTTTGTAATTCATCTATATGGGATTAAGTATATTAATCGATCACATAAATTTTCCTATTTTATCCTATATTTGTAATTTCCCATACATTAGTGTGGGCTCATATGAATTATTTATGTTCCTTGAAATGTTGATACATCTGCACTTATTTATTAGAGGTATAAAGGCCACCAGTATAATGTGTACTTATAGGTAATTGTAGCTTATAATAGAAAATGAAATTCTAAAAATATTTACATCAACTTCTCCAGGAACATGAAAAACTCATAAAAGCAAGCCATTCCTGAAGCATCAGATTAAAACATGTAGTCTCCAACCATGAAAGTTCTTTCAGAGAAGTGGATATTAAACAGGAAACAATGCAAGCTCCATCAAAGCTAATTCTTTTCAGATGTTCAAAGCATGACGAAACCCATGTTTGAGTGCCTCTTCCTCAAGACCAACAATTTCCAGAAAAGCTTTGCGTAGCCCCTCTTTTGCAATCCTGTAAATCTCTACTGAGGCTGCTCCCTTCTCAGCAACCTTTAAAGCATCTCGGAAGATATCGCGATATCGTAAAATCGGAGATTCTTGAGAGTAATTTTGACTTTCGACATCTCTTTCGTCCAAGACAATCCCACTCTTTGCCTTCTTTGTCCACCTCTTCAGAATATAATGTTCTGGTAGCAAAATCACACCGTTGCAGAAGAAGACTGTAAGCACATGCTTACATAATAAACCAGATGACTCAAACTTGTAACAAGTGCAGACAACTTTTTTCTCCGATTCATTAAAGGCAACAATTTGCCTTTTATGACCATCTCCGTCCCTTTCGACAGTATATTTGCTGATAGTACCTTCCTGAAATTTGACAGCATAGTGATCCAAGGCTTCAACCAATTCAGCCTGAAATCTTTCAAATACTGACCTTGTGTAGATACTGGCTGCTTGTTTCTCCATATGCAAATCTGTCTTCAGAATCTGTTGGGAATGCAACGCATCAAAATCGTCGTGCATTTCCTTCTCGTACCGAATATCCATTTCTTGATTAAACTTAGAAATGAAAGCTGGCAGGGAGATACTTGTGTCGAAGTTCTTTCGGAAGAAAGTGTTCATACTTTCTGATCTTTGAGTGGTGTATAATTCTGCAAAGAATGAGTCCTTCAGATATGCAGGAACCCATTTATTACGAATATTGTATACTAGCTGCAACCAGGCATTTTCCCTAAGATTATATTTGTCAATAACCAGCTTCCAACATGCTTCAAACATATCAGCTGTTTCACACTCCAAGACATATCTTTTTAGCTCTTCAGGCAGAGTAGTATACCTCGAGTAAACATCAGAGAGCTTCTTCTTGCATCTAGATAAGATACGCCATTTGCAGATTCTGTGGCAAGCAGTAGGGAATACCTTTGCAACAGCAGCTCCCAAAGCCTTGTCTTGATCAGTGGTTAACGAGATTGGATGGCGTCCTGACATTGCAGTCAACCAAGTCTCAAACAACCAAGCATAGGATGATTCAGTCTTGTCTAATATCAATGCACATCCAAAATTAACAGGTTTTAGATGATGATTGACACCACTGAATGCAGCGAACGGCATCATATTCTCATTCTTCTTGTATGTTGTATCGAATACAACAGCATCGCCGAAGTACTTGTAAGCAATTCGAGCTCTTGAATCAGCCCAAAATATGTTGGCCAAGCAATTCCTATCATCCACATTCATTGAATAGAAAAAACCAGAATTCTCGGCTTGAATTTTCTTGAAATGCTCCAGGAGACCCTGAGCACCTCCTTCCCCAAAAATCTTCTGCCTCATCTCTCTCAAAAAGTTGTCATGTTCACGATCCTTCCCGGATAATTGGTTAAGCTGGATTTCACGCACTTTATCTGGACTAACAACAACATGAGTGTGCTCCAACACCAATTTAGTAATAACCCATCTGTCTGCACCTCTGCGAACCACCTCCATCATTGCAGGGCATCCATCCCTTATCGAGAGACGCTTCCTCTTCTTCTTGTTAGTCAATTCAGTGACCTTCTTTTTGTGATGGCCTTCCTTCAAACAAACAAATCTCTTCATGACTAAAACCTCAACTCCCTTTCGTCTCTCACTGCGAGACCTGGCGACACGGATTCCAAACCCAAGTTGCAGCGCATAAGCATTGTAAAACAACCTGGCAACAGTATCAGACTCAAACTCCATTCCAAGATGAGGGTCCTGATTCTTCACATCTGCTTCAGATACAATGAGCTCATTTCCAATGGAATGCACAAATGCTAAAGAATTATCCTGGTGGTTGAAGAAATGAAGGGTAGCGGCAACTTCTCCAGCCTGCTGCTCCACATCAGAGGTCATGATATCTTTTTCTAGATCAACATTGTCTTCGATCAGTTCATCATCCTCGCTCGAAGTGTGCTCCATCAACCTGTGCAGTATGCACAGAGAAATCGCATGAAATCAGAAGTTTAAAATTCGTATAAAAGAGCCGTCTTTATCAACTGAACTGCAAATTTTCCACATTAAAACAGAAAGTATCATATTTTTTAGCCTAGCCAGGTTGAGTTGGGGAATGCCACACGGAAAGGTTGTAGCTTTGCAAACAATAGGAACTAGGGTTTCTGAGTTGAGAGTATGGGATTAGAATCAAGGATGAGAAGAAAGTGAAAAAAGAGGCGGAATACTTGTAAGCGCAACCTAGAAAACAAAGGAACTTACTTTATTTTTAGAGTTTACAGGAATCGGCAACTGAGGAGTGCTTCACCTTCCTCGAGATGTCAACTTTAAGACGCCACTAGGAATCAAAGTAGAACTGCAAGATGGAAGAACCTTAGTAAGCGTATCAATAAAGAAAGACCTTCTTTCTTGGATGATGGTTTATTGCCAGGAGAACTAGGGGCACTGAGGACTTGTTTGCTCTGGGTATCTCCCGATCTACAGGTGTTGACGCAACTACCGTTGCCGTTGTGGGATTCTAGAGTGTAAAAGCAGTTGGCAGGCATTAGAAGAACTAGAAATTGTTGTATGCCGGTGTCTAATCCTGATCAGGATATATTGTAATTTTTTTTTCTAAAAAAATTTTAAGCGGGGCCCACTAAAATACATCCTACGGTCAGGATCGCAGAGATGCATGCGGTGTCCGTCTAAATTTTTTTTCTAAAAAAATTTAAGCGGGGCCCACTGAAATACATCACGGTCAGGATCGCAGAGATGCATGCGGTGTCCGTCCGCATGCAATAATTTTTCCAGAAGAACAGACCTACTTTCACGTTAAATTTTGAAGGAGCGGCTGATGTGTCTCCTGCAGATCAAAGGCGAATTAAATTTTTGAAAAGATTATAGATGATTAATTTTCTTTAATTTTTTGTTCTAATTTTATATTTTTAAAAATAATTTATCTAAATTTTTTTTTGCAATCTTTCATTTTTATCAAACATATAAAACTTTGATGTGCCATCGATAATTTTTTATCAAGTATGTTGTATTTTTTTATAAGTAATGTTATATGTTCAAATTCAAAATCAACCAAAGCTCTTTTTTTTTTGCAATCTTTCATTTTATCAAACATATAAAACATTGATGTGCCATCAATAAATTTTTATCAAGTAAGTTGTATTTTTTTATAAGTATGTTATATGTTCAAATTCAAAATCAACCAAAGCTCTCATTTTCAACAAATTTATAGTCAATGTAAACATCTTAACAATACGAGCCTGATGGTATCAAAGTTGGGTCAATCTGAGTCCAATCAAATCAAAATTTAGTCATTAAAATACATTCAAAAGTTTTGGATCATTAATTGAATGATCAAATGAACTTTAAATTTGACATATTTTGAATTAAATCGAGTGTCTCGATAAGAGAAATCCAACAGGCCTAAGATCACTCAATTCGGCGCTTTTTATGACACTCAAATTATTAAAAAAATTCCAACGCTCAACAAGATCAAAAAGGGCAGTGTAATCAGGTGGTTGGGGAAGTTATTATCCAAAAGTCCAAAACGTCCCTCCTCTAGAGGCTATAAATAGACCATGTCTTTTCATTTGAGCTCGTTCTGGAAGCAGCTAACCACCGTCTATCAGTCACCATCAACTAACACTAGTTGTCACCGTCTATTGGTGTTGTCGTCTAATCATTGTCGACCCCTGCTTGTAACGTCATATCTCAAATAAGTCTATAACGTATGCAAATGTAAGGAAAACTTGGTGATAACTTTCGGCTTACGTTGCCACTGACCATCGTTGACCATTGTCGGTTGTCCCCACCTTCTACCACCAAGCACCGCCGACTGGCGAAACTACTTACGACCATCGTTGTCAAATAAATCTCTTTCAAAATTGTTAAAACCAAACAATATAATAGTAGAGATGTCACAGAGTCTCTCAATATCTTCGACATCTCTTACATTTTCTTCCTTTGGGTTCCATTAATAACTGTTCCATTTTTTAGCCTTTCCCATTTGGAATTTTGATGATCAATTATGAAAACCTAAACTTAGAAATTTCTTGAATCCAAAATCACAATCTTAATCGAGAGATTTCTTAAATAAATTTGGTAGCTTAAGATGTAATTAACTACAATGGCTCACCCTTATAGGAAGTTTAAGATGACATATTTAATCTAAACCATGTTTAGTCTTTAAATTAGATTGGGGAAAGATTTGTCGGTTTAATCGTAGATCATTGCAAATATCCAAAATTTCTTAATTTAAATTATTAAATACATCGTAAAGTGATATTTCTATTTTTCGAGATGGTATATTACTTTTGAAGATGTGTTTGATTATCTAAATAATTAAATCCTTGAATCTGTAAGATATTCAAAATCATGTGTTAAAAAATAAAACCAACAGAGGTATATGATTTAAACTTCTTGGCATAAAGTTTATTTGCCTTTTATGTGAATGTGGCTTTGATTGCAAACCTTTTTATAATATGGCCAAAGCTTTTTCAATCAAAATATGGAGGGCTTTTAGAAATTGTTCTATTTTGTGGGCTAAGTTTATAAACCTTAAATCCTATTTGGAAAAAGTCTTTATGGAATCAAATGGATTGTTGAACCACTTATTTATAAGTTAATGTCTTCGTTTGGCTTGAAAAGTGGATTGGTACGACATCTATTGATTCCTTTTTAAAACTTGATCTACTTCCTCTACTAAGGTAATCAAATTTATATCTCAGGATAAATGGGATACTCTTGAATTGAAGGATATCATTCCAAGTTTTTTAGGATATCATCAATATCTCTATTATTTATGAGAACATGCGTCATAACCTGTCCTAGGGCTTAGAATTTTTAAGATGGGAACGAGAGGTCGGATTGTGAAATCTAATTTATTTTTATGTCATACTTTCTATCATTATCTGTTGATGATCCAAAAAGTAAATAAAAAAGTCTCTACATATGAAAATTTAAAATAGAGTAGTTATAAATTTATCTTCTGTCATGTTGTCAATGCCTTCTATAGATATTTTATTCTCTATTAATCATCTTTTAATCAAATAATTAAACATAAAAGGTTAATTTAAAATAAAATGAGCTACAATAGCTACTCCTATTTCTAAAGTATAAAATCACAGTAAGAAAGAAAATAATATGCATGACAATTAAACCTTTAATAAATCAATATGTGAGCAATTAAAAATTTATGTTTTATGAAAATGATTGATCAAGATATTTCAAAATATTTATTATTGTTTTCATACCTTTATGATTTTGTGGGGGTATTCTCAAGCCGACTACCCCGGTCCGGTTGACACAGATTTTATATACAATCTTCACTTGAGCACTGTCTAACATTTCAAAATATTTATTATCGTTTTCATACCTTTATGATTTTATATACAATCTTCACTTGAGCACTGTCTAACACTTAAAACAATGAAGATACATACAATCACTTAATAAAATCTATATCATTCATATTTTTATATCATTCAATGTGTCATAATACATAAAAAATTTATGGATAATACATAAATTTTTCATATTGAAAAATCCGAAACATTCATATCTATTTGACCAAAAAAAATTAAAAGTAGATGAATCAAAAGAATGCTTTACAAATGAATTAATCAAGTATAAATAATTAATGATTCAGTTGGCTTAGAAGAAGCAAAAAATTTTACTATAACCTAGAAGTTTAATACTAATCCTAATTTTGCCTTATTAAATAATGCTTTCAAATCAAATTGTTTTGTTTTTTTTTGTAGGCTTCGTGACTTTATTTAACATAACTACAAATTAACATTACCCCCAAAATAATATTTAAAAAGTTTATAATTTTATAAATAAAATTTAATTTAAATATCCCTAACATACTTTATTAAAACTTGTTGATTTTATTGGTTTGATTCTCAATTTTTAATTAAAATAATTTAAATAATTAAAGCATAAAATCTAAACCCCTACCTTTACATCATCTTATCTCTCTTTTGCACAAACACTGACCTTGGTGTCTCACAGTTGCTTGTCCAATTAATTACTAATATTAATTTATGATCATTAATATTACTTAATAATATTTTAATTGAAGCAAATAAATTAACTTTTAAAAATAAAATATCAAATCCCTTACATTTAATATCACTAAGTGCGTCCTATGTCTGAATTTTAATCCTCTTCAATTGGCCACTTGTTTACTCGAGTTCACACAGGCTTTTGGCCTTCACTGGCATTGCCTCTTAAGAAGACACTTAGTGAACCCTAGACATTGCAATGATCCTCGTGCTCATTTTCCACACCGACTTTGACACCCTCAAGTGAATCCACTATAAGAAGCAACATCAACCTTTGCACTAGACACATGTGAGTTGCTCGAATGCATGCTTTCTATACACAACGAGCTTGTCATATATGCACGACGCTATATCCTTCTTCTCCATATTCTTTCTTCTCACTTGCTCTCTGCTCTACTTCATTCTACTCGTTCTTGTTTAGGAGTTTCAAAACTCTTTATTGCTTTATGCCCGTTTTTTCCCTTCTTTGTTTCAAGTGAGAAGAACTTATTTTCTTCCCTCTTACGAAATCGCCGAAAAGGTTAGTACAAATCAACTTGCCCATTACATTTTATTTTTTATTTTATTGACGATTTTCGGCTATTACACTTGGATCACATTACTTTTTAGAATGAATGGGAACTTCTAATGATGGGTACTTCTCTTTTTTGATGGGTGTTTGGAATCATTTCATATATAT